TGTGCGGCCTCGGGGTCTCCTCCCCCGCGGGGCACCCCGGCGGTGGCCCTCCGCAGAGCGCCGTCCCCAACGACCCTTCCCTGCGCCGCCCCAGTGCCGGCTGGTGTCTCCTGGACACAGCCCAGACCCAGCTCTGGAGAGCCTTCCCGGGCTCCACAGCAAAGAGGGGTGGAAGGGATTTTGGGAGGGTTTACCCCATTTCCCTGCCCCGAGGGAAGGCCCCAATGTACCACAACACTCCTGGTAGGTCTTGTCCGACCCCTTCTTCAGGGCCTGCAGTGACCCCACATCTCCCAAGGCATGGCTGCTCCTCCACATTAGCACTCTGCATCGTAGCCTCCTTCTTTGTGGATCATTTTCCCATAGGCACACAGGCGGTTTTTTTCCCCAGCGCACATCGCGTGTAACAGGAGTGCCTTGGGACTTCCTTCAGAGAATGGATAGGTCACGTCATTTGGGGGTGATGGCAGTGAGATGTGTTCTCTTTCCTTTTTTCTTTCCCTGAAAAACTGCTCAAAATCCAGCCCCCACCAAGGCTGGAGGAGTTTTGTAACCGGTGTCAGTAAAGACAGGATTTTCTTCCATGCTAGTAAGTCTCTTATCCTACACGCAAGTGCAGAAAAACCTGGGAAAAGGTTTTCCCAGTAGGAAGAGCAGCTCTACTGATTCAGTGGAGCTTCCCATGCTAGTTGCACTAGCAACAAACTCAGCAGTTTGTATTTATGGTGTGGAAGCAAATTTGCTTCATTTTATTACTGCTCAAGATTAGTGTGTAAAGCAGCAAATTAGTCCTCCATTGAGTGTAGTGGGACTTGATGAAGTCAAACAAGATATGACCTCTGCTTTATAAACGAATTACAGGATAATAAGCTATGAACACCAAATAAATATTTATTTGCTGGACTGAGGCACGGAGTAGTCAGTTTTGTGCCAAAAGCATCCGTGGACTTCATAACCAGCAACCAGAAAACATCTCTAAACTTGATTTTTTGTTTAACCGCAATCCAAAATGTCTGAGTACAAATATGATTTACTTCTTGATTTATTTCTCAGAGCATTTGTTAGGAGGGGGGAGGGGTTACCTGCCTTTTGGTTAATTTAACAGCTAGTGTATCACTGTCTACATTAGGGACAAACCCAACCAGCAGCTGTAGAATTCATTCCACATTGATTACTCAAACCTATAAGAGACTAAATTTGGGCAGTTTAGTGAGAAACATACACTGAGCAGGCAGGAGATTCTTGATTTGCTGATCAAAGCCAGTGCATGCAGATACATTTTGCCATCATTACTAATCCTGTTCTTTATTTTAAACCTAACCCCAGAGTTAATTTTAGTCTGATGTGAGCCCTTTCCAGAAGATCAATGGCATGACAAAATCTGGAAGTGATAAATAACCAAAAGCACCAGATATGGTAACTCTGCTGTACTAAAGATGTACAGATGTAACATAACTTTTCAGTTTCCTCTCTGCAGGCTGTAAAATAGAAGAGGGAGTCTGGACAGCTATTTTATGCTTGTAATTAATGTGTACCTGGAATCATTTGTACTTCAAAGATCAATGATTTATTTTGCCGCTAAAATAAGGCTAATAACAAATCTAAATATTGGCTGAAAAATTGTAAGGGTCAGATACTGTTTGTGTATACAGACAGTGTCTATGTATATATGGCCAGATACAGTACGTGTCCTGCACACACACACCCCTCACACATGCACTCAGACACGCTCATGTCATTCAGGCAGCTGACCTGTTGAAGCCAATGCTATTGTTCTCACAAGTAAGGAGTTTTAAGGCTTATAAAAGATGATACTCCTCCTTTGGTTGTGTGCAAAGCAGCCCCCGGTAGCTGCATGCACATATACCCACATGTGTCAGCTTTTACGCCGCCAACCTCACTGGCCCCAGGCATCCTGCTGAGTAAGAGTTGCATGTTTATTACAGGCAAACCCCTACTAACTATACCTTCAGGTGAATACAGGCAAGGAAAATAGGAAGTGCTGTACTGGGTTTTGTTGGGGGTTTTTGAGGAAAAACAGCTATATGGAATTAGGGAACCAGTAGGTCCCATATCACACCAGAAAAAGTACCATTACAAAGAGCAGTAACCTAAGCCTTATGGAGGGTTCTGTAGACCTTCAGAAAACCTCTGCATGACCATGATTCCCATTGTACAGGTGAAGAAGCTGAGGCAAAGAGGTGAATTCACTTACCCAGGTCACCCGGCAGGTGACCCATCTTGGCAACACTAGGAACAAAATCCAAATTTGCTGGGTCCTGGTCCACTCTTAGATTCTCTAATGTAAGAAATGCAGTGGTTAAGGAATGACCCATCCGACAACCTTCATAAGGGAGATTAATATGTATAAAGTATTTGTCAAATGTATGCATACATTTTTATCATGAGTATCCCAGAATACTCATTCTGGGAGCAAAAGCTTTGCAGAGAAAGATTTTTTTTTTTTTATGCCTGCACTACAGAACTGCAAGATAAATTATCCACTGATTTCCCTCTTCATCAAAATACTTAAGTGCACACTTACCTTTAGTGACATACTTAAACACTTTGCTGAATCCAAAGCCTCAGCACTGTGGTTCAGAGGACCCTGACTAGTAGACATGCAAGAATTCAGCTTCTATACAGGCATGTAAAAATGCAACATTTGCAAAGGTTTTTCAGTGCTCAGCACTTCTGGTTGCAACACAGATTTGCAGGCGAGTCTGATGGGCAGATCTTCTATGTGAGATTGGTTTGTATTATCAATTTATGTTGGATCAGGAGTGTTCTATTGAAGCCAATGCTACAAGTGACCCCCCCCAGCCGAATCACTTGGGTTTGTATGGCGAAGCGGTCACCGGACACACAAACTGGCTTCCTCTTCAATGAAACTAATTGCAAGATGTACCCCTGGAGGGCACTTTTCAGACCCTAATGGGTTTTCAGTCCATGGGGTCTGACTAAACTCAGTTCAGAGCGAAATACGAGAATGGAGGGAGGGTGGAAGTTCAGCCCTCCACACCAGGCGCTCCTTTTTACAGATCTGTTCCCATAGTTTTGGACTATTTGTCAATTTGACCAAAGCTCTAGACATCTAGAGAGAGGCACAGCTCTTTTGAACCATTACAGGTGAAGGGGATAAAATAAGCACACTTGTGACTGAACCTTTACTGTTGTCTCATGGACAAATATTGACTTTTGCAGTGTAATGTATTTTAAAAATGCGTTCAGCTGTTTGGAATTAATAAGTGCTAATTCTTTCAAACAACCTTCCAGATCGTTACATTATATGTATGAACTTCCTGTGTCTCCCCCTCTTGCTTTTTAATCTTCTGGGAAAAAACTGGCCAGAAGTACTACATAGCAATATGTTTGAGCTTGTACATGAGAGATGACTTCTGAAACAGATGATGCAGTGAGCTGCATCCCATGTGTTGCAAGCAAACCTAACTTCAGTTTGACCTCCCATCAGTCACCGGTTCCACGTCCTGTATCAGCAGATGCCGGGGACCATGTGATTGCTTCCGTAGTCCTCAAGGCAGCTACACAACAGCTGGTGCAGAATAAGTGAACAAACTGCAGATAATATTGAAGTGTTCAGACACCAATACACAGAGGTGTTCTGGATATGCATTTGTCCCTAGTCTGTTTATTACTCTCTTGATGTATTAGTAACAAATTAAGCTTGTTTGTTTTTTTCTCTTTGCCTCCTGGCTTTGCAAAGGGATGAACTATCTCCGGGTCCTGTTACTCTCAGCAATGCGTGAAAGCTGATTAATAACCATATGGATGGACTGTGCTATATGATTTTGGAGGGGGGGGGGAAATGGTGCTTTACCATGGAAGTCAGCAGTGTTCTTTGCTGAGTAAAGACCCAGTTCAAATAAGCACATAAGAACTTGCTGAACTTCAAGTGTCTAAATCTCATTACAGTTAGATCTATACACCATAACTACAGTTAAATGCTGGCCTAAATGTTTTTCAGCATAGAGAGAACTCAAGCATATTTTGCTATGTTCTTTTAATTTGAGATCTAAAGCATTATTCAGTCTGAGAAAGAAGTGTGATCTCTAGTGTTAGAGTTAATACACCAGTCGTTGTATCTACAGCGTAGGTATCAGTCAACTCTTTGTTAACCTGAAATTTTTGATGAAAATAATGCTAGAAGACTACAACTTTTAGTTATGCCAGTTGTTAATAGTAATGTAGAGTAAGTTCTCGTTCATCATAGTTGTGACCAAAAAAAAATACTCTTTGTGTGGCTTTAGGAGGAGTCTCCAAAGTGAGGCACACATTTCCTCCTCCTGTATGGTCACTACAAGGCCCATATATACTTGGGACTGCTTGGTGGATCAAAATGTGTCACTGAATCAGCAACAACCGACATAGAATTAGGAATTAGCACATGGCTTTCATATTTCATTTCTATGAGGTGGGCTGGTTAGCACTGACCAGCTCCATCCATGAAAATAAACAGCTGAAAGATCACGACAACAAATTGCTTCGTAGTAGACTGAAGCCTCTCTCCATGTACTCATGTTGCGTACACAAACCTTGACGCTGTTTGCTGGAGACTGTGTAAATCTTGTACTGGGTTCAGCACTGCAGGGTCAGGTGAGGGTGACAATAAAGGATTTAGGTGCCCAAACTGCAGAGTCAAATTAGCAGTCCTGTCTCAGGCTTCCTGTGCGGTACAGGGTGGACACAGGCACCTCCAAAAAGAGTCTGACACAGCCAGTGCAATCTTATCATCCCCTGGAAGTCTCCTTCAGGGTTGATAAAAAGCAATGGACCCTCAGACTTCTTTCATTGCTAAATAGCTTTCACTCTTAAAAAAATAATAAGAAAGAAAGAACATTGTGGGTACTGTCTTCCTCCTCCTGCTTTACAGAACTGGTTAGAAACCTGCCTAGAAAGTGCAAGATCCAGGTTTGACTCCAGAGACAGTGAGATAACCCACCAGCTCACCTTCTCACCAGGTGAGGAGCCATGTGCCTCTCCTCACTCCAACACCTGTTCCCCTGTAGCAGAAGTTCCATGTGTATACGGAAGGGATTTGCAGTTATCTTTGTTGATGCAGGAATACGGACTGACTGCGTGTCTTCCATGTGTTGGGCATCTCATCCCTAGCCTAGGTGGTGCTTTTGTTTCTTTTTTGAACCACTGCTGTGCCTATTTCCCAGGACAAACTTCCTGGGTTAAATCCCTCAAGGAAATTAAGATACTTTAGGGTGAGACATAAACAAAACACTAAGCTGCGCTGCCCATGGGAGGTGTGTATGGTACCCTCCACCAATTAGTCAGCTATTGAATAGGGCTGTAGCGACAGCAACTTTGAATATAAGCAATTACATTTTGCTGAAAGAATATTGTGAGTGCTTAGAAAGAGTGCTTATCTATGAAATAATTGTGGATTTTAAAGTGAACATAGGTGTTTGTCCTCCACCGAGCATTTGACACATTTTTGACTCAGCATGGCATTACTTTAGGCTTGCACTGTTAAGACACAGCATTGTACAGTGGTTCTCTGATAATACTTGATTTCAGCTTTGCGTGACAAGTTCAGGAAACTTCAGGAATGGATTTCATCTGACGTCTTATGAAGGATGCCCTTTTACATTTCACTGTATTAGGCCAGGCTAGATATTCATAACAGCACTGTCTGACCTTAAAATCTCTGATGCAGCTATTCCCTGCCCTCGGTGCTAGTATTTGACTCAGCAGTTTATTTTCCGTCCCAGACTTGTACAGGCGTCATTTCCTTTTAACTTCTTGGCTCAATTATTGGAGAAGGGTGGAGAGTTTTTGGCTTCTTTGCCATTGTTTGGGCACGTTCAAGTTGATAAAGATCAGTTCTGCTGGGCAAGTTATCAATAGCTCACGTGCTAAAGCTTGAGAATATTGAGCAACTTCTTCCAGACTTACCCCGAGATTTAGTCAGTTAAAAGACTATACATAAAAACCTCAATTGCACATACAAAGGGGAAAGTTTCTTTGATGAAAGCCAGGAATTTAGATCAAAACACAGTTTATTTTCCCAAGGTTGACAGTAAAAGGATAAAAAAAAAAAAAATTGCTGTTTTATAAAGACCAGAAATCCATTTCTTGATCTTAAAGGACTGTTTTTTTTGCGAGGGAGGGAAGCTGTGCTGTAATGACAAGATCAGACAATTCATTTCTTTGTTTTTTTTTTTTCTTTTTATGCAGAAACACTTCATAGGAAGAGAAAAAGCAATAGCAAATTAATACAAAAGAAGCTTGGTACAGTATGTAGTCAGTCAAATGTAAACGCTCCAGATCTTAGTCTAAGTCCTGTGAGCAATATCCATATAAGTGGTCCATTGATTTCGGCCATATAATTCTTAACGTAAGCAGACTTCAGCTCCTACTCACTAATAGGAATTTTCTATTTCTGGCAAGAGAAGAGAAGTATTGGACCCCAAGCGGGAAAGCAGAGTACAACTGCACCGTTAATGAAACATTTACCTTGATGTTTGTGACCTTCTGCATGCTTGAGGGATTAATAAACACACAGGCTATTTGACTTGAAGGTAATCTAGATGGGATCCATTACTTAATCTGTTTTCTAAAGCGAGTCTATTTTGGGCACTGAGTTTTAATTCACCTATAGTGATGGTAAGCGTAACGTATCTTTATTGGGCTTCTCTGTGACCCCCGTTGTGAACGACTTTCAGACAGGCCAGAGCAGGGACAGTCCCTTTTGCTGGTGGGTGATTACAGCACCTGTCGGAGCCCAGCCGTAAGTATTCAAGGAAGTCCTAGAGATAGGGTCCGATTTCTTTAACAGTGTCTCCAAATATACATTTAAGAGGCTTCCTCCTGTCTTGAAATTTAAGACCCTAAATAGCCAGTGGAAAAAAGCATAGTCTTCGTGACTTCAGACTTTGTGCTCGCCTGGTTTATTTTTATTTTGTAAGTGATTCTGTGTTGACTTTTTTTTTCCAAGCCTGTAACTTTTCAGACAGATATATAATTGATGACAGCTATGCTGCTACAGCTTGGTAGTATTTTTTCAAGAAAGAGTTAAAGACATATATGATGTAAGGAAGTGCTGTTCCAACTTCAGCTTTGGCCAACAGATGGTGAAACAAACATGATCAGCAGACGAGCAGGATGATAGCAGCAGGGAAAATATGAATAATAGTAAGAAAACACAAATATTAAGTCCATTACTCTAAGAGGCCCTAATTTGGCAAAATATTCAAACACAGGCTTCAGATTCATTGATTTGCAGCGTGCTTGCAGCATTAGCCTTAAACAAACATTAGCCGTTTTATGTCCTTAAGGTCAAACGCATCAATTGACATAAAACCTTGTCATTAACTTTACTGTAATTCTGAGAAAGCTGTTGCATAAAATGGTTAATGTAATTGTCAACAAAAAGCAGTTAGGTAGCAATACATTCTGCCTGCCTACATGTTTGTCCGTTGTTTATCTCAAGAATACCGGAGCACCCCCCATGCCAGCCAGCTGCTCCATAACCCGCAGCTTAGGTTAGAAGACTCTACAGCCAGGTAACCTAAATATGCAGAAGTTGTCAGAATCAGCTGATGTTCTAATGAATTTCTGAGTCCAGGGTGGAGTCTTGGCGCTGTTAAATCAATGCGTGCTTTTGCCACAGACTTAATCTCAGTCAAGCTTTAGCCCTATACACACATGCTCACACGTGCATATATCTATGTACACAAATGTATGAATAATACATTTTTGCAATGGTATTGAGAAGACCTTTTAAAGCAGATGTCTGATTATATAAATATAAATTATAAATATAGTCAGACATCTGTTTAAAAAATTATAAATACATTCAGACATCTGTTTTAAGAATGTCTTTCCAATATTTTTGCAAACATAACTAAGCGACAGAAGCGATTCAGGGATGCAGTCATGACATGGATGGGGGATGAGGAGGGGCTGCCCAGACATCAGCTGTTCTGCTCGCCCGTGACCGTATGAAGCGAGTGGTGACCCAAAAGCCCCTTATCCAACTCCTCCCAGGGTAATATGACAGAGCTTCTCATTCAGCAAGCCCAGGCTGCCGAAATAAGATCCTGACGCAGAAAGCACCTTCTGTGAGGACATTACACGTAGTAGAAAACATCCCTGGTACCTTAAGTGTATCTGAATCTTACTTTACACAGAGGAAAAACTGCAAAGAGATGTTGAGGAAGGTGATACAGTAAGTCCGTGACACAGCCAGAAGCACAGGGTGTTTCTGTTAATGCTGAGCTCTATGTTTTAGCCAAACCTACCCTTTACGAGGTCTTCTATCAGCAAGTGGTGGCTCTGCTAACAGTTTCCGTGCTTCTTTGCAGATGTATTGTGAGAGGTTTATATGTATCCTGAGAATACTTGGAACCACACTCTTCGGGGTGTCCCTCCTGCTGGGAATCACCGCTGCTTACATTGTGGGCTACCAGTTCATCCAAACAGACAACTACTACTTCTCTTTTGGACTCTATGGTGCTATCCTGGCATCACATCTCATCATCCAGAGCCTGTTTGCCTTCCTAGAGCACAGGAAAATGAAGCGGTCACTAGAGACTCCAATCAAGCTGAACAAAACAGTTGCCCTTTGTATTGCTGCCTATCAAGAGGATCCTGACTACTTAAGAAAATGTTTACTTTCTGTGAAAAGATTGACCTACCCTGGAATTAAAGTTGTTATGGTCATTGATGGGAACTCGGAAGACGACGTTTACATGATGGACATTTTTACTGAAATCATGGGTAGGGACAAATCTGCCACTTATATCTGGAGTAATAACTTCCATGACAAAGGTCCGGGTGAGACGGAGGAGTCTCACAGAGAGAGCATGCAACATGTATCTCAGCTGGTCCTGTCCAACAAAAGTGTTTGCATCATGCAGAAATGGGGTGGAAAAAGAGAAGTAATGTACACAGCATTCAAAGCACTGGGGAGAAGCGTGGATTATGTACAGGTAGGTATTAGAGCACCAGGTCAGTGCCAATTCAAACACACTTTGAAAGAAAGCAGCTTTTGTATATTTTGTGCAGCATGTTAGAGGCCATCCTAGTCCCTGATGAACACAGTGCTCCTTTCAGTCTGTTTGGAAACAGCTTGACCGTTAAAAGCATATTTTACTACCTTTTAAAATGGTCAATCTATCTGTGAATATGTTAAATCCGTGCACCAGCTACAGGAGAGATCTGAAATCCTTCCTCAGACTTCAGTACTGCCCCCTCATCCAAATGGTTTTGCTTCAGACAAAGCCAGTGGGCTCCTGAAGACCCTTTCACTGCTCCGGTAGGTCAAGATCTCGGGTGAGGTTTTATTTTGTGAGGTTGTTAGCGGTCCCATATGCAAGGAGGCAGACAGGTATTTGGTGGCACTAGGGAATATCTCGCAGCAGTGGTGGAGTCTGTAAAAAAGATGGGGATATTTTAGAGGCTTCGAAGGCTGTGCAGAGTATTCAATAAAAGGGTCAATGTGCAGCCTTGAAAGAAAGATTTCTTCGGCTGAAGCCTGAAGAAACTTTTGCTTCATCACTTACAGCTGCATTACCTCACTCACCGCGTCTTGGCGTTTAAAGCCCTTATGACACTATTCACTTAAAAATGAATTAGGCTGGGTCCTCTCTCCCTGTTTCCAAAGCAGCAGAGACACATTTCTTTCCAGCTGCCTTGGATCCCGTGAAAGATTTTCTATGTTTTTGCCTTACACATGGAAGCACTCCTCGGTCCTGCAAACAGCCCTGCTGACTGCGGGAAAGGGAAGAGGTTGTGCGTGGAGGAAGGCGGATGGGATCGGGCTCTCTGGGCGGACACTGAGGACCCTTCCTTATCGATCAAGGCCAGCAAGCCTTATTTGGCTAATCCCACTGAATATGAGACGATCTTCCTAGCTAACCACCCTTGGACCTTCCCACCTTCTCCTGATCTCAGAGCATCCAGCAGTCTCCTCCGGTGCAGCAGCAGCTCCCCGCAGGATGCTCTCTGCTGGCTCATGGCAGCTGTGTGGCTGAGCCGTATGTCTTTCTGGGGTCCATGCCCAGCCTTGTTCTGGCGTGTGTATGCACACTCCGCACGGCACAGCATCCAGGGGCGCAGCGTCCAAGGGATGCGGAGAGGGTGCCGGTAGCTGGGTTGAGAGCAGCGAGTCCTCCACGCACAGGAGGGACAGGAACCGAAGGGTGCTGGGAACCGCTATGTTATTGGAGCTGGGAGAGTAAGGGAAAGATTTAAAAACCATCCCCTACCACTTCCAAAATTGAAACTGATTTATTCTCTGAAAACAATGGGCTTAAGCTCTCCATTGTCTGCACTTTGGTTCTGTGCTGTGAGGGACTATGATTGGATAAAAATGCTGGGTTTCTTTATTAGCATGGTTTTATAATCACTTTGTGCAGAAGTATCAGATTGCAGAGAGAGAAGGCAGAGAGGAAACAGATTCATTGCAACTTTCCTCTCTTGGTCCAGCTCTCACATTTGTTCAGGGAGCCTGGAAAAAGTGTTTCTATTTCAACAGTCATAGCATAAACTGAGAAAATGGAAGTGTCTGGTCTTTCAGTCAATTAACACTCCTGACTTGTTTCAGAAGTCCTGATGAATGTGTCAGGGACTGCCATGCTGCTGTAAGCAGCCACCAAATGCTGCACTAATGATTGATGCCACAATTACACCTACAGTCACATCTCTATTAGAAATGCAGCACCTTGGTGGCCCTGGCTGCTACACAGTCATGATGCAATGCAGCTAAAATGTGGCTCTGTTTTACAAATGAATGAAGGTTGAGATATTTCAAATGGTTTTTTGGGGGTACCCGTGGTAAATTACTTTAAACAGGCCCAACGTTTTAAGGGCTGAACACTCTGCATCGATGATCAAGCACTTAAAAAAGTGGGCCACCACTGCCCACCCTTGAAACTGTAGGCCTTACATTTCTTAAAAGACACCTCAGGGTTATGGACAGGCAATCATAAGCAGTCAGACCAATGCAGATAATGAGCTGTTGCTCATTAATGGCATCTCATTAAATACCTGAACTTGCTGTGAGGGCTTATTTGCCTCCTGGAGGAGGTTAGGAGGATGCAAGGCATCAGGTAGAGGAGTTAAAACTGTCAGATATTGTCAGTTCAGAGCTGGTTGGGGCAGCCAGGGTGCAATTCATCTTGGCTTGGTGGAGGTACCTGTGTGGACAGTCCAGCGCAGCCTGAACTTCTCAGAGCAGCTTGGATAAACTGCCACTGGTTATAACAAGTATCTGAGCAGCTCGTTTCAGGTTGACTGTCCCTTTCATGCAACTCTGTGACCCAAGGCAGTAATTTCTAGGTCACTCAGCCCTTATGTGGAAAGATGGCAAATGGGCTCTTGGGCTGTGCTGGGCTACCCCTGGCTTGAGAGACCTCGGTGTGTTTTATTTGGATTCCAAAGTGTCTGCCATTCTCTGGGCATGTCCTCTTTTCACCTGCAAAAACCTCATCCAGATGGAAAATGGTGGTTTGTCAGGTTTGCCCCAGAAACCCAGGCGGATCCACTGTGCTGACATGTACAGGACACATGCTGGTAATTCGTAAATAAATCTACTGCTTTCAGGATTCCTCATCTCATATAAATTGTGCTGTTTAGGGGCAGGTCTTTCTGCTGTAGATAAATGTGCCTGACAGGGTGGGGGCTGCTCAGCCACACCAAGTGACAGGCACCAGAGGGAAAGCAGAGGGGCTGGGGACACATCACCACTCATGGTCATAAGAAATGGGATCAGTATTGCTGCCTGAGCCCTGGGTACTCAGCAAACTACAGATTCCTTGTGCAAAACACTCAGCAACAGGTCTGTCCAGGAAGTCTCAGGCAGAAATACAGGCACCCTTTCCCCTCTTCAGCAGAATCGTTTTGCTCCCTTTTTATCACCAAGTGCTGTCACTGATGACAGCTTTCCACCAAAACTGAAGGCACACCTTGGCCAGGTTACAAAGGTGCTCCTCAGAATGAGTCCTCAGAGGAGAGGAGGTGGATGCATCAAGTTAGCAGGAGCTGGAGATGCTGGTGGCTTTTCTCCTGACGGAAATATGAGAGCTTTGATCAGCTTTCTCCTCTCAGCCCCCTCCAAGTGAGCGTGGACGGGAACATGTTGGCAGACACTCAGCTGTATCCTGAGCTATGCTATCCCAGGTTACCTCTCTGCTCAAGTCTGGTCCATAACAGAGCCCCAAAACACTCTTCTCCTCTTCACAGACCAGGCATGAAGGTTTCTGCTCTCCTGGAGCGAGGGGACTTAGACTGGATTGAAAGGTTGGATGATAGGACACCAAAATTAGGATACCTGATATGAAGCCCCACCAGAATCTCACTTAATAGGTTATTCATGCAGAGCTACCAACTTTTGCCCCTACCGTCCCCATCTGAAATCACAGGAATGCAGTGTGAGGATAAACTGGAAATAGCATGAGAATTTGTAAGGCAGGATCCAGCCGGCCCGAGGGGTGTTTCTGGGACAGCCTCCTCTGCTCCAGTTTCTGGGCGGCTGCGAAATGAGTTTACACAGGATGGGGGCACCGCTTTCAGCAGCAGCAGCAGCTGCGACAAGGAGACACCCGCTTGTTTGAAACAGGCTGCAGCCCGTGTCATTCGCCTCCGAGCAAACGAAAGCAGTGCCAGCTGCCTCGCAGCGCGGCCAGCCTGTCTGAGTCCTCCTCCTACTCTCCAGGGGAAAGCCGGTTCCTAATGTACACAGTGTTTAGTTGACTAGGAGTGTTTGTGTGGCTGAAACGCCTTGTGTGTGTCATCTATTTCTGCCCTGGTCTCGTGGAGTACTGCACTTCGGGACTCGCTCCTTCTGGCCTTGCATATTTTTTACAAGAATGCCAGAGGAAAATAGCAAATAATTTCTATATATCAAATGTCAAATCCCTGCACTAGTAATAACACACCATGCATCTAAAATTAAAAATGAGTTTGTTCTGGAATCCAAAATACACATCTTACATGAATTGCTAAAGCCTTTTGTGAGTGAAAGAACTATTAGGTTTCTTCCCAGACTCCTAGCTGACTTTTTCTGTTTTTTATAACAAGTGTCTGGAATTTAACTCCTCACTCCTTCCCTCATATGGCAGCGGGAAACATTTGACCAGGGTGCT